CTGTGTATTTGTGTTGGTTTATGCTGTGTATATATGTTAGTAAGTTCTGTGTATATGTGCTGGTTAATGCTGTGTATATGCGCTTGTTAGTTCTGTGTATGTTTATTGGTTAGTGCTGTGTATGTTTGTTGTTTCGTGCTGTGTATGTGTGTTGGTGAGTGCTGTGTATGTGTATTGGTTAGTGCTGTGTATGTGTGTTGGTTAGTGCTGTGTATGTGTGCTGGTTAGTTCTGTGTATGTTTTGTGGTTAATGTTGTGTATCTGTGTTGGTTAGTGCTGTGTATGTGTGTTGGTTAGTGCTGTGTATGTGTGTTGATTAGTGCTGTGTATGTGCGTTGGTTAGTGCTGTGTATGTGTGTTGGTTGGTGTTGTGTATGTGTGTTGGTTTGTGCTGTGTATATGTGTTGGTTAGTTCTGAGTGTGTGTGTTGGTTAGTGCTGTGTATGTGTGCTGGTTAGTGCTGTGTATGTGTGTTGGTTAGTGTTGTGCATGTTTGTTGGTTTGTGCTGTGTATATGCGCTTGTTAGTTCTGTGTATGTTTATTGGTTAGTGCTGTGTATGTTTGTTGTTTCGTGCTGTGTATGTGTGTTGGTGAGTGCTGTGTATGTGTATTGGTTAGTGCTGTGTATGTGTGTTGGTTTGTGCTGTGTATATGTGTTGGTTAGTTCCGTGTATGTTTGTTGGTTAGTCCTGTGTATGTGTGTTAGTTAGTCCTGTGTATGTTTGTTGGTTTGTGCTGCGTATGTGTGTTGGTTGTGGTTTCATATTTACTATACGTATCACTAATCCGTTTATCTCACCACATCACATGCAACGAATGACACACACACCCATTAATACCCTTGTCGTATGTTTTGCATGTCTTGCTTTATAGCACATGTAAAGAATGACACACCCATTAATCACTTGTTGTATGTTACGCTTGTCCTGCTTTAAATCACATGCAGTGAATGACACACACACACCCATTAATACCCTTGTTGTATGTTACGTTTGCCCTGCTTTACAGCACAAGGTTGTGGACTCGATGTGCTCAGCGCCCGTCAATCTGCTGCACGCGCCTCACCCCATGGCCTTCACAGGGCATATGTCCTTCTTCAACAAGATCATTTTGGATGCCCACTGGTCTCCCAACCGCACTTCTCGATCGGGTATGCCTTGGTTTGGTGAGGTGTATGCCTTGGTTTGGTGAGGTTTATGTCTTGGTGCGGTGAGGTGTCGCGTTGTGGGGGACTGCACGTCTGTTATTGTGCTGTGTTGCACCCACTTGCTCGCTCACTTGCTTCTGATATGTTGTTGTGTTGTGTCTGTTGTTGTGGCTGAGCGTGGTCGCCATGCTGCCCGCCTGTCTGGTTGGTTTGAATCCCTATACCCTAAACCCTAAACACGGGTGCCTCGTCTCGTGATGCTAATGTCCCATTTCAGTTTGGCTTTCCATTGAATTCCGTGACTTTTTCTTTGAGACGGTCCTGTTTTTCGTCGTGGGTACAGTTTGTGCCAAATACTGTGCTTTCATCGCCCTTGTGCAGTCACAACCGCTTCCTCAATATATTTGGCGTTCGATCGTATTACATGATGTACGGTTTAGGGTTTAGAGGTTAGGATAGTATTACCTGTTATAGGGTTTACGGTTTGGCGTATTGTCTGTAGTAAAGTTTAGGGTTTAGGATCGTATTATCTATTGTAGGGTTTAGAGTTTAGGATCGTATTGCCTGTTGTAGGGTTTAGGGTCTAGTGTTTAGGATCGTATTGTCTGTCTTAGGATTGATGATTGAGGGCTTAACATCACATTGTTGCCGAGGACACTGTCGTGCCACACAGTTGTTCACTCAGTTGTTCACTCAGTTGTTCACTCAGTTGTTCACTCAGTCGTTCACTCAGTTGTTCACTCAGTTGTTCACTCAGTTGTTCACTCCTCCTCGTGGCTTGTTGGCAGGTAATTGCTTGCTGCTAGTGGTGACTGACGACTACCGCGTGTCTGCTGTGGATGTGCCACGGACAATGTTCATGACCACCAGTTCCAGGTAATGATACAAGTGCACCCACTAGTCATGGTGTCATATGTGGTTGTTGACTAGTCATGGTGTCATATGTGGTTGTTGTGGGGGGTAGAATAAGGGACACCCTGTCCATTGCAGGTAATGATGCAGGTACACCCAC